GGCCCCTGGCACAGGCTCCGCAGACGCCCATTTCACATCACGCTTTTATCGATGGCGTCAGATCACATGTGGACTTCTGTGGAGGCGCTGGCTCTCGCTCTTTGGGGGAGGAGGGGGGATGAGGAGGGAGGAGAGAGGGGGGGAGAGAAGGCTGTAACACACAAACACACCACACCACGCTTCAGGAGATCAATACCTCACCTCGAGCCGGTCCCCAGGTCTCCGGGGGACCGAGATTATCGACAAAAACAACAGGGTCTTTAGCTCGGGATAATCCATAAAAGATGCATCCGTGTATGGGGTGCCGATTGTAAAAATTCTGTTACAATTTTTTAGCTGAACATTTTTCTACATTTAGCTCACTTTCCTCACATTTAGCACATTTTCCTCACATTTAAGACAGACATTCATGTAAAACAACACGTTATATGTAGTTGTCAAATACATGTTAAATATTATATATATATGTTTATATCTAAATCTAAATGTGAAATGTTATATCTAAATATTATATCTATATCTAAATGTTAAATGTTATATCTAAATATTATATCTATATCTAAATGTTAAATGTTATATCTAAATATTATATCTATATCTAAATGTTAAATGTTATATCTAAATGTTATATCTATATCTAAATGTTAAATGTTATATCTAAATGTTATATCTATATCTAAATGTTATATCTATATCTAAATGTTAAATGTTATATCTAAATGTTATATCTATATCTAAATGTTATATCTAAATATATCTATATCTAAATGTTAAATGTTATATCTAAATGTTATATCTATATCTAAATGTTATATCTATATCTAAATGTTAAATGTTATATCTAAATGTTATATCTATATCTAAATGTTATATCTAAATATATCTATATCTAAATGTTAAATGTTATATTTAAATGTTATATATATATCTAAATGTTAAATGTTATATCTAAATGTTATATCTATATCTAAATGTTATATCTAAATGTTAAATCTAAATGTTATATCTATATCTAAATGTTAAATGTTATATCTAAATGTTATATCTATATCTAAATGTTATATCTAAATGTTAAATCTAAATGTTTATATTTATATCTAAATGTTATATCTATATCTAAATGTTATATCTAAATATTATATCTATATCTAAATGTTAAATGTTATATCTAAATATTATATCTATATCTAAATGTTATATCTATATCTAAATGTTAAATCTAAATGTTAAATCTAAATGTTATATCTAAATGTGTCGCCAAGTGTAAAGCTAAATACATAGAAAATATTTAAATCCGCAAGGAAACCACGCCCACTGCAGTGGCTTCAAATCCAGTGGGGGGTCCGCCCCCTTTCCTGAAATGAGTTGCTCTAGTGGCAGGCCGTGGTATTGCAGCCTACGGCTCAAAAGCCCTTTTCGCCATAGACAACCATGTAAAAGGAGCAGCCTGTAAAATGGTCCACGGGGCGTCTGGAGTTTCAGATTAAGGCAAATATTTTTCTTTAAAATGACTATTTTTAGGACATGGACTTATTTTCTTCGTAAAAGAATTGTAAAGCATCAAAAATCATTTAAAAAAGTTTTTTTTTAACTGTTTAAAAAAAAAGTTGTTTTTTAAACTTTAAAAAGGTTTTTCAAAAACTGGACTAAAAACAAGGATAAATGCTAACTAACAAACCCCTCAAGTAAGTTTGTTTCTGTCTTTAGCAGCATTTCATGTACTTTGTAAGTTTACTATGTTATTTGAGTGAGTGAGTACGTTATTTGAGTGAGTACGTAATCTTTATTTAGTAAGTAAGTGCTTTATTGTCATTGTACAAGTGCACAACGAAACAGTGTTCAGGTGTCTGACACCTGAACACTGTTTCGTTCAGAAAAATATTTGCCTTAATCTGAAACTCCAGACGCCCCGTGGACCATTTTACAGGCTGCTCCTTTTACATGGTTGAAACTCGCCTGTATTTGGGCATCGTCTGGTCCTCCCGGTTCTGCGCAGTGGATGATCTCCCATAATGCGTTGCGTCAAACACGCGTGTGTGGGTCTCACACCAGGTCTCACGCACGTGCACAGAGGGGCTCGGCCGCGCTCTGACCAATCAGAGCAGTTCATCAGAGCGGGAGTTAGAGCGAGAGCCAGAGGAGTAGAGTTTGTGGCACTAAAGTGTGGATTTAAACAAAACCGAAGGATTTAAGAAGAAAAAAAGTTCAGGATGACAAGGGACACTAAAATCCCCACAAAATCCTATCTTTATTAAAGCTGTAGGTTCTCTGTCAGCTGAGGTCGAGCTGTTTTAATATGCATTGAGTTCTATGGGGAAAATTTCTGGGTAGCCCACGTGAATTTAGTCTGGTTCAGTCTGCAGTACCACGAGAATCCCCTGAGCACATGAGTTATTCAGCTACAAGCTAGTAATACCCTATCCAGTTAATATAATACATCCATGAGAGCAACTCATTTCAGGAAAGGGGGCGGACCCCCCACTGGATTTGAAGCCACTGCAGTGGGCGTGGTTTCCTTGCGGATTTAAATATTTTCTATATATTTAGCTTTACACTTGGCGACACATTTAGATATAACATTTAGATTTAACATTTAGATTTAACATTTAGATATAGATATAACATTTAGATATAGATATAATATTTAGATATAACATTTAGATATAGATATAACATTTAGATATAACATTTAGATATAGATATAACATTTAGATTTAACATTTAGATATAACATTTAGATATAGATATAACATTTAGATATAACATTTAACATTTAGATATATATATAACATTTAGATATAACATTTAACATTTAGATATAGATATATTTAGATATAACATTTAGATATAGATATAACATTTAGATATAGATATAACATTTAGATATAACATTTAACATTTAGATATAGATATAACATTTAGATATAACATTTAACATTTAGATATAGATATAATATTTAGATATAACATTTAACATTTAGATATAGATATAATATTTAGATATAACATTTAACATTTAGATATAGATATAATATTTAGATATAACATTTCACATTTATATTTAGATATAAACATATATATATATAATATTTAACATGTATTTGACAACTACATATAACGTGTTGTTTTACATGAATGTCTGTCTTAAATGTGAGGAAAATGTGCTAAATGTGAGGAAAGTGAGCTAAATGTAGAAAAATGTTCAGCTAAAAAATGTTAACAGAATTTTTACAATCGGCACCCCATATTCGTGTTTCTAGTTTAGTAAGTAAGTAATGTTTATTTATATAGCGCCTTTCTCAGACCAGAGTCAAAGCGGTTTACAGTTGTGGGCATTAGTCTCTCTCTCCACAGAGAAGGGAGGGGCCAGTACACTCTTAGAAATAAAGGTACGGATTTGTCCTCATAGTACAATCGCTTGTCACTGGGGCAGACACCTCACAAGGACAAATATGTACCCCTAATATGGGGTACATTTATGTACCCTTGTATATTGTACCTTACTGGGACAATTGTGTACCTTGTTGGTGGCAATTCTGTACTTTACCTAAACCAATAATGTACCTTCTTTGTACAAGGAACAAAATAGTACGTTTTAGAAAAAGGTAAAATTTTGTTCCTTTTATGGATTAAACATTTTTTTGTACTGTATATTAATAAGGCCATAAAACAAATTGAATTCAATTCATCTTAAATTTATTTAATAAAAACCATTTGTGCAAACAAATTCAACTTATTCAATGTTTCAAACACAAGATCGAAGGGACAGAAACGTGTTGTCAACAGAATAAACATATGCCTTATAATCTACTTCTCCTGGTCTAGTCAAAGTCCATTTCTCATCCATCCTGACCGAGTAGGCAAATAAATGGTGTTCAATACTTAAAGAAAATACTTTTTTTCCACAAAGAACCCACTCTGTATCAATGTTAAAAATGTATTTGATTTTTAGGAACAGTGGACTCCTTTCAGAATGCAACAAACCAATAATAAAGACATCATATAATGCATACTTAACACATTTCAGTCACTTGAGAAACACATTTACAGGATTACTCTTAATACGCTTGCGATATACGAGTCGTCTAAAAGATTCAAATATTTTGAAAGACAAACAACACTTATGAATCCCTTAATACATTTTAAAGTTGGGCTCATGGGCATGGATTAGTCCAATGTGCAGGATTAGGCCCTGTTTATACTGAGACGCTGCGCAGACGTTTCCAGGCTATTAACAGAAACGACCAGGCTCCTAATGCAAACTTCTCAGCGTTCACATGAGGTTGAAAAACGATGTAGTTCTAGCGCCCGGCCAGTAGTGGGCAGAGAAACTTTACAACACTCACACGACCCCCAGCCCCGTGCCCAGCCCCTTTCCCGGTAGTATACTCACTTCCTGTACCAGACCCTCAGAGAGTACCAACATCATTCTGCATTTTAACAGCAGCTGTGAACATGGAAACTGAACCTAGAGCTTCGCGTGGTCTCGTTTGGACGAATTGAAGGAGTAGAATTATCCTCGCGCTGGAAGCCCACGTAGCTAGTTAGTGTGAGCGGCGCCATTGTTGTTTATGTTTGTTCTCCGCTACTGCGCATGTCCAAATGTACGTGCGGGAGCAGCAGGAGGTGGGGGTCAGAGCAGAGGGGGATTTCACACCTTTCTCCCTCTCGCGGGTGTGAAAGAGCTCCCTGCTGTGCAGCGTTTCTGAGTTGTCCCACTCTGCAGGCTGGATCTGAATACTTACGTTTTCACCTGGAACACAGTCTTCGTATGAACGGTTGGTAGAAACCGACATCCAACTATACCGTTTTACTGCCACATTGTCTCCGTGTAAACTCAGCCTTAATTTAGTCAATGTGAATACTCTGCAGGAACATTTTGGACAATGTATGACTGTGGCATCAATAAAGTAGATTCATTTTGCCGCTCACATTTTGCAATGTATCTTTGGAGAAAATTCAAAGTGTTCTTGAGGCAGTGTGGATACTGAATGTTGAAAATGAAGTATGTGCAGAATGCAGCCATGACTCCATCTTCAACGCCGGAACAACGGCACACCTCAACGCTGTCCACTTTAACTACGGTTGGGACTCTGGTGGTGAACGCCTTTTTCCAGTCTCCGAGCAGCTGAATAGTAGGATACGGATGTTTTGGGTCTTCCTGTAAATTAAAATTACAAAAATGAAGTTATATAATTTATGATTTTGTGACTTATATGGTGTAAATTTACACCATTAATTCATTTATTCTTCTTCACCACTCATCTTCACACTTGAAACTTATATCCAGGTGACATTTATATTTTATGTTATTATTTTTAATATGTAAATGTAAGTAAATATAGTTAAAACATATACTACATACCTCTCCAAGAGTAATGAAACGATCGTCGATCTTATCAGCATGAAAATGGCAGTTGCCTGTAGATCAATATCTGTGGAAATAGAAATGGTATTTTAATACATACATTACATTCACAATGACAAAGCTCATATCAGAGCACCACATTATGTTGCTTTCTGTTGTTGAAAGTGCGCCTTCTATTCCCAGAGTTTAAAAACAATTTGTTCAATTTCATTTTTGTGTTGAGAACAATTTTCTTTCTGTTTCAGTGCAAAAGGATATTGTTGAGAATATTAACTTATTTTGATTTTTTCAAGGCGAACTATGATGCTGAAAATCCCGGAAATCTAAAAGTTGGCTAAAGGATTTTTTTAAAAACTCAAGACAGTATATTTTTAAGGAATTCATTGCCCGTAATCCTGTTAGATCACTGTTGGCACTTTAACTTCTTTCTTTAATACTGTTTAATAACTTGTTAGCATTTCTTTTAATTAATTAAGCCAAATAATCCATTTAAACTGATAATCATGAACGTCCTTACTTCATACCTCCCACTACGCCCAACTCAAAGTCACTGTCCGCCACCAATTCATACCTTGTGCATTTTCAGTGAGGGACTCATCTTTGGCCTCCTGGTAGTGAGCAAAGATGGAAGCCTTCCCTTGTTTGCACAACTGATGATCATGTTTTCTGTCAAACCGCAATCAATTGTCTCTCCATCCACCTAATTTTCTACAAAAATATGAGAAAGCATAAGGTTAGCACCTAATAGACGATAGACTAAATGCAGTGAGGACAGTTTCAGTTTAGACTGAATATTATGCCAGAAACCATGAATTTCTGACTTGATTATCATTTTAAAACGTTTTTATTGATTAGAAATATAAATGTACATCTAGACAACAAAACCAAAGCCACGGTGAGCAGACCAAGCGCCTAACTAACATTAGTTAAAAAGTCAAAACACAAATGCTGTCAAATTAAGCTTAAAAGGAAGGTCTTAAAGCTGAAAATAGGATCCCAAATCAGACAAAAATCCCAGTCCAAGTCATCTCAGACCTGCTCTAGATTTAGACCAAAACCAAAAAAGTCTTCAGACTCGCATGTCCACTCAGTTTTCCAGAATTGTTCACCACGTAGGGTTTTATCACCTCCACACTTATGTAACTTAAATTTCCTTCGAGTTAACGATAAATGTGTAACCTAAACACATATTTAATAAACTTTGTATAGCAGCAGAGTTGACGCTAGCTTAAACTCCCTCCCAAAGCTAGCTCCGCGCTAAAAAAGAAGCTAATGCTAACGCGAGTTATCACATCCATTTGACTTAAAGCGAATATCCGGAGTTTCTGGAAAGTCTTGGTTTATGTATTATTCTTTTGAATTGTGAAAAAGGGATTGCGCTGTCTTTTACTATGGTCGAGTGCCATTGGTAATTTGTATACATCGATGTATGTAAGTCCCGCCCTCGGCCTATAGACCCCTATACAAACTGAAAATCGAGGCTCGATCAGCTAGCCAATAGGCTTTTACTTCCTGCAGCGGCGACTGTCAGTCAAGGTCCATGCGCATGCACAAAACCGTGCATGGCCACAAGGACGCGCATCTTCGGCCAGCGAACACAACATCATGGCGGAAAGCTCCGTAAACCCAAAATTGCCAATACCACGATTGCCATCTAAAGCTGCTCCTACATCAAAACAAAAGAAAAGTCCGGGGACAAAGTTGGCAGATAGACGCCTTCGTGACCACCGGAGAATATATCTTGGAGCGGCGTTTCAAAGGTGGAGGGACCTGCGGCTTTTGAAGGGATTTAAAACTGACCCTGAGTTGGCGATGTATCTCTTGGACAGGTAATGAACACTTTTTAATGCCACTTTTAAACGTGTCGCTAGTGAAAAACAATACCACTGTCTTTCTGCAACAGTAGAATGTGCATAGTGTCAATTAGCATGCATCAAAGCTAACGTTAGCGTACCATTCGCTAGCAATATGTCGGCTCAGCTAGCTGGCACACTTCTACTGTGGACCGAGTCCATGTTTCATTTCAAGTCAAATGAAACTTATTGTTCGTTCTTCAATTGTCACTACATGGATTTATTGGTTTTCACGTAGCAGCTAACAATCACGGTACCCCAAAACACGTTATTACTAGCGCTACTTTTTCTGACATGTTACTTGTACTAGCTTTTTGGCTGCAAACTCCTGCAAGTCAGTGCAACGTTGTGTAGTTAAACGTCATTCTAATGATTATAACGTATCTTCTATGTTTAATTTGTAGCTATCAGAAACGATCAGATTCTTCAACGTCGACACCAAGAAGAAATATTAAAAGAAAACGACTTGTGATGCCAGCTCTTTCCAGTATTGCAGAGTCGTTGTCTGAAAGGTACGTGATCTATCCTGTTAGCATCTGAATGATCCCAATATAAAATAAAGGCTAATCCAGTTGTTCCCACACAGCAGCATTTATATTGTGTGTACACTGTAGTTTATATCAACATTTTTCCTTATTTCTTTTTGCCTCACTCACTCTACTTTTTTTTTTTTTTTTTAGAGGAGGATTTCTACGAAGTACTCCCAATTGGCAGTGACGATGATGGAAAAAGGTACGTTATTCACGATATTATAATTTTTCGTAAATTTGGTGTAAACAATGTTGTTTTCAGGATACAGGCTGATGAAGTGGATGAGAATGATGTAAACAGTTTGCAGAATTCAATGTGAGTATAAAAAATGTATACAAGAAATGTAAGACCACTTGCTGCAAAAGATATGTTACAGAGCTAATGTTTTGCAACAAGTGGTCACGGGAAATTTGCCACTATCAAATTCTGCCTAGCCCTTTTTAAAAGTTGTTACAAGTTTTTCAGTCCAATGAACATGTGTAATCAATACATCTGATCCAGTGCAGTACACCTTTCTTAGTTAATAATAATAATACAAAAAAATATGATGTCCCTCTGTGTACAGCATTGACTGGACAGAAGATGAAACATGGACCCCATCTAAAGACACAGAAGAAGTTTCTACCTCAGAGGAGGAAACAAGAGAGGAAGACAGTGAGTCTGACGACAGTGACACGGACTACATACCAACAATACGAATCAGGTGAGTGTTATTTATGTAAGGGGGTAAAGAGGAGCCCTGCAGTTTGAGTATAAACGCATGCTTGGAGGCTAGAACAGTATGAGGTGCTGCGTTTAAACATTTCAATCATTGTATAATGAATGAAACGATGAGAAAATATCTGAACTCTGAACATTGTAAAGCGCTTTGGGTGACCTTGGTCTGTAAAATGCGCTGTATAAATAAAATTACTTAATTACTAATATATTGAAATGTATTGTGTAAATAAATAAAAAATATATCAGTTGTATCATTTCTGCTCAGACCTGGAGCTTCACTTGCCTACAATATTGATGAGCTTCCTGTGGCCACTGCGGAGGACATTGTGTATGATGGCATAGGACAAGACCCTCACCTCCCACCTTGTGATGATCCGTCCATACCATGCAACAGCATCAGAGTTGAAACCCCAGAGGACATTGTAGGCCAGCAAGCTGCCATTGTGTATGACACCTGCCTAAAGCAGCTTGTTACATTTCTCCAAATGCCAATTAGAAGATGTCCAGCAAAAACTCTAAAAGATGAATGTGGAGCCACTGGACCATTTGAAGTTTTTCTTGTTAAAAGGGGAAGCGCTGTTCTACTGAAATGGGTATGAGGGCAAATTGGGATTTTAAAATAAGCATGGATCAATATATCTAACACACGTTTTCATCTTCATACTCTTTAGGTGTGTCTCAATGGTCATACAGTATGGCAATGGAATTCACAGCCCACATTTAAATTCAATATGCAAACGGGCGATTTCATGCTCGCCACAAACATACTTCTCAGTGGAAATAACTATTCCAAAGTCGCCCTTCTGTTCAAGTACATGAACATGGGTATAGTAGCTCAGACATCTTTCTTTGCCATTCAAGATGCATACTGTGTGACAACCATTGAGGAATTTTGGGAAGAGAAAAGAGCTTCCATAATCTCTAGTTTGAAGGATGAAAGAGTTGTTGCACTTGGTAAGTTATTTGTTTTAAAGCTATAATCAAATGTATTCAATTAATTTTTATGAATTAAACAATTTGGAATGATTTTGACATATACATTGTTCTGTTAAAAACACAGGAGATGCTAGAATGGACAGCCCTGGTTTTTCGGCCCAATACTGCACATACACTGTGATGGACAATGGCAGTAAAAAGATTATGAATATTGCCAATAAAGACAAGCGAGAAGCCCAGGGACATTCCACCATAATGGAAAAGTTGGCATTCATTGATAGTTTAGACAAACTTAGAAATGAAGTCAATATTTCTGAGATTTGTACTGATGCGCATACCCAGATTTCTGCACTTTTCAGTAAGTACACTACAATGTAAACTAAACAATACTAGTTATTTTTTCACGATAACACATGTGTTTTTTCAATTAGGAACTGGAATATATAAAGATTCTGGAGTGGAGCATAGCTTCGATATGTGGCATGGTGCAAAGAACCTCGGGAAACGAATACATGCTGTGAGTAGAAATTATTTTTATTTTTGTTTATTATTTATGCTGACCTTTGTTTACAGTCTGGCCAACAGCGGGATTGCAAAATTCTGTTGCAGTGGAAGAAAGACATATGCAATCATTTCTGGTTTTGCTGCAAAGTAGCAGATAATTATGAAAGATTCTTTGTAAGTAGTTTTAAGCTTAAAATCTTAACCTTAAAATATTCATTTTAAAGTGAATAGATACACCAAATATTGTTGAGTCAAGTGAGGAACTTGAATTGTGCCATAATTGTCTTTTTATTGTATTCTTACTAATGGCCTTTTTATTGTTTTACTTGTAGCCCATGTGGATTGGCTTATTGCACCACGTCACTGGTGAACATGAATGGCCCTATGATGCATGCCAACATGACCCATTGGTGGAAGAGCCTACTAAGGAAGGGATAAAGAAAGGATCCAAAGCACACTCTGCCCTTTCCGAAATCATTCTGAAAGAACGCTGGCTCAAGGATGTCCCAAAATATTTGAATTTCAGGTAGGAAAACAGGTGACTATATTCATCTTTTTCTTCTATAGATTGTAAAATTAAATGGAGTTTTTTTGTTTATTTTTGTAGGTCCACAGCACATTTGGAATCCTTCCACAATCATCTTCTCATGTATGCAAGTAAACGTTTTAGCTTTGTACAGCCTGTGTACAATGCACGTGTTTATCTTGCTGCTTTGGACTACAACCACCATGTTGACCGGCCTATGAGAAGATATCCTGATGGATCCTTGCAGTAAGTGTATACCAAAAGATAATCAAATCATTTTTTCTTTGTTTTAAAAATATATATATATTTTGTTACATTTAGAGGGAGAAGAGTGTTTAATAAAAAATCAAGATCCTGGGCTTTTTATGCTCTGAAGGTAAAGAAGGACTATGCCTATATTCCCTCACTTCAAAGCAAGATTGTGGCTGCTCGGATAAACAGCAACAGAGGACTCCCAAAACACACCAAACTCAGATCTAATGACCCAAGACATTTAGGGTTAGTTTGTGGTGTTCCAGCCCCATCAACAAAAGAACTGAGGGACAAACATGTCAGCCGTGGAGATGGTAAGATGTTGTATTTCAATGTTGTTTATTTTTTCCCTTCTGATAAGTTGTTTAATTTCAGCAGGTCAAGAAGAACGGCAATAGATTTGGAATTTTTCCTGCAACAATAGAATATTTATTCTATTCTGAAGTTTGTAAATAAATGTATATACTTTTGCTGAAATGCTTTGCCTGTTGTAATTACAGCACATAGGCATCAGATTCAATTAGGATCCTTTATTAAAACACACACACACACACACACAATCCTTTCAACAACACTTTACAATATAATTAAATTATAATCGTCTGGGAATGAAGCCGGTGTAGATCCCATTCGGATCAGGGTATTTCTCTCTTATTCTCCATACCACACAACTTGGAATGACCACCCTGTTGCGAGCTCCCAGTGTGCCATACTGTCATGAAACGTATTGCCTATATGCAGCATGGCGAAATTGTCTGTTGTCCTCCCCTGGTTCCGAATCATCATGAAGTGCGCGTAAGTCATTCCACAGATTCCTCGCCAGTCGCAAAACCCCTCCGTCAAGAATCAGAGTCTGCATGTGCGGAGCAAGAGAAACGCACAGGACAGGGGATTGCTGGCAGCATTTTTTTTCAATGTCTGTTGGCATGTCTTTACAGTGGCTGCAGACACACCAAGTAGGCTGATTATCTGTAAGCGGGTCTCGTGCAGCTGGGCCTGAACGGTGCATGATGTCAAGGAGAACGCCAGGGTTCCTCTCCAACACTTCCTGCAGTACTTCCAGAGCGTCCTGGTGGCTTAGGCTTTGAAGGAGTTCCTAAGAAATATACACATAGTTGTACAATAATAAGACAAGTTCTATATGCACATAAACAATACCTTTATTTGCCAAGTTACTCAGTGTTATACATAAGAGATTACTAGTTTTAATGTTATATTGTGATACAGGCATAACAATGGTGTTGGACCATGAGTCCGTAATAAAAGCTTCATTCATTCAATATTACACTCTATTTGTTGTCTTTTGAATATATTCCACTAACCCTAATAATTGTATAGTAATGATGATACACTACATGTCAATTTTAAGTGGTTTCTATGTACAATTTGTTTTATGTCACACAAGTTCTATATCTAACCACAGCGAGAACAGCATGTGGAATTCCAGTGCCATTAATGGTTACCCATTACAGTAACTAGTAATATAACGATTGTTATCTATAATATACTCCTAACACTAGTTTCGTACAACCAAATGAAGACTTCTCAAAATGTATTTACATCTAAATACCCGTTCAAAGTTGATGCGCTGGGTTCGAATCTCATGAACACGTGCAGAATCCTCCAGGCCTACGTTGCCAGCACTTCGGCCTCTCGGGGCACGCCGACCCCGACCCAGTCCACGGCCCCTGGACGTAGACGGACGGGCTCGCTTAGGTGCTCTGCTCGTCGGGGTGAAAGGGGGTGAATCCTCGTCAGAGGACGACTCTGCTGCATGCGAACTCTAAGCAGCAAAACACATATATATGTGACATGTGATATGCAAAGCAAAGGGTCAGCTCTAGCTATATAACCTATTTTAGCAATTTAGTTGCGACGATTGATAGTAACTAGCAGAATTAGCAACGTTAGCATTGCTGCATATAGGCAATATTATGCAGTTCTTAGACAAAATGGATAAAATTCTTAAATACATGCTTTGTCTTACCTCAGAAATGTCCATCGCCACGAAATGAAATAAAAGAACGAATATTTGCGGACCTTCCAACTTTGTTATGTTCGGCTCAGCGCGTGCACAACCGTAGAGGCGTGGCTTCAAGAAGATTGACAAATGCAAGGGAGGGGCTAGGTAGCGGCATAGTGCCGTTCAGGTTTGAATTTTCACGCCCTCTTTTCATCCTCCGGATATTCGCTTTAACATCTTCATAAAACACATAAACGTAATAAAACATTATCTTGACCCAGACGATGGCCATGGTTTAAACAGCATCTGAGTCAGCATTTTAAACTAGCTTAGCATAGAGCTGGCTTGTACTAGCTTGTTACAAGCTAACTTACAAAATAATACAACTAGTACTGTGTTTGTTCAAACTTACCCCTGAATCGTTTGGCTTCCGTCTCGGACACATCTATTCCAGAATGAAGCTCTTTTTCCAAAAGCTCTTCAGTTCAAAGAGCCCTTGAAGCCTGTCCCTCCATGAGTTAGACCAAGTCTGGGGTCCTCGCAGCGGGAAAACTAAAAGACCGAAGCACTACTAACAGTGTCCTTCCTCATAGCTGCTGTTGTTCATGTATTCATGCGCATTAATCTAAAATAGTCCCTACTTGGGGACAATATTGTACCCTCTAGGCTCAAATTTTAACCATGTGTGGTACATTTTTTGTGCCTTTTTAACCTAGGTGGTACATTTATGTGCCTTTTAGATTTAAAAAATTGCATTGTACCCCTTTTACCCCCAAAAGGCTCAATAATGTATCTTAAGGACCAATAATGATCTACTTGGGTTACAATGTTCTAGATTTGTACCTATGAGTACAGAAATGGTCTCCTAATGTACCCTTATTTCTGAGAGTGTACAGGAGGCACATGCCAAACCGGAGTACGGGGAGAACATGCAAACTCCACACAGAAAGGCCCTGTTTCGACTGGGATTCGAACCCAGGACTTTCTTGCTGAGAAGCGAGAGGGCTAACCACTCAGCCACAGTGCTGCCCACTTCAGTTGAATATGGTTATCATTATTACCATTATTATTGTTATTGAGCTGCCGGGCAATTCAATTCAATGTATTGTACTCACTCACATTCTTCAAATCCAACCTCAAAACTCATCTGTTTAGACCTAAGCCTACTCACTAACAGAACCACACTCTCCTGTGTCCATGATGCTTTTCACTTTGTAACTTTGTATTTTAACTGTTTTTAAAAGGCACTTCTTACTTGTATGTAAGGCGACCTTGAGTGTCAAGAAAGGCGCCTAAGAAATAAAATGTATTATTATTATTATTATTGTTGTATTGCCCTTAATCACAAAAGCTGTTTTCACGGAGAATTTAAAAAGGTTTTGTTGATTCGCCGACAATAGATCAGAGAATCAAACACAGAATATGCAAAGAAAAAAAACACACAGAGACCGACGTCTGTACGTAACAAAAACAAAATAGAAACGTCATAAATATCCACATTAACAAGAGTGAACATACGATCTGAAACCGAACTGTCAGAGAAGAAGCCTGTCTTGTAATTTCAGGAAGACTGATCCAGAATTTAGCATGAATCTGAAACCCTGGGACTCTGAGGAGCACAGGGACTGGCCTCCTGCTGGGACTCTGAGGAGCACAGGGACTGGTCTCCTGCTGGGACCCTGAGGAGCACAGGGACCGGCCTCCTGCTGGTCCCAGAGTCGCGACATGGGGAGACAGCGTTTCAGATTCTTCCTGAAGAACTAAGACAGACTCTACCCGAGCTTTACCCAGGTCCAGGCTGATCCTGAACGTTAATATCAGATGTTTGAACAGTTTGGCAGTAGCCTGGTCTTACCATACCATCATACTCACTTCGTACTAAGGTCTGGAGGGGCCACAGTAACTCAGTTGGTAGAGCACAGATCTTTGGACCTAATTACGACCCATGTCACCTGCTCCCACTGATATCTGCTGTCGGTGTGTCCCTGGGCAAGACACTTAACCCTGCATTGCCTGAAGCCCCCACTGACAGACCAAGGCCATGTCTTCGATGACGGAGAAGCCATCATCCTGTGGCCCCACCACCTGCAGGACGATCAGAGGGACTGGTGCTTTGAGACTTGGGCAGCTCTGATGGTCAGGGTCTGATGGACCCAGAAATGGATCAATAAAAGAGAAGACAATGTCATGACTAAGGTCTGGATTTGCTCCATTGACTCCGTTAACAGGTGGGAGGGGTTAACTCCTTTTGCAGATTGAAACCATTGGATCTGAGACTGTGACGTATGTAATGAGCCCGAGTGAGTGAGACATTTCGCATTTAGCCTAGCTTTAGCCTTGAGCCTAGCTTTAGCATTTAGCTTAGCTTTAGCCATCTCCTCTGCCACTAACGGAGCCCGCGTGGGGAGTAGAGCCACAACATCTTTGCAGCAATTAGATTCACTAAAGATTCCTCTTGCTCCGGCTTCAATGAACCGGAATACTTTACTATCACATTCTTCGCCAAACTACAACCAACCGGCTAATTCAGCACACACTCTTGACGTCACCCACATCTAACTACAACACCCGCCTCCCGCGCTCTCTGATTGGTCGGATGGAATTCAACCGATCGTAATCACAAACACTGGGACCAGACCCAGACGACACATGTATGAAAATGAAAATAGATCGGAGTTTACAGATGGCTAAGGCCAGGCTAGTTATTGTTGTAGTGAATATGTGAAACCACAGGAGGCAGAGTTCTGTGTGAAAGGACTGAGGACGGACTCACATCAGGATCCTTCCATCTGGAGGCGGACCCTGAAGTCTCCTGTGGACTGTACCTGGGACCGCAGCAGACCCTGAGAAACTCTCCTTATCAGACCAAGTGAGACATCTGCTCCTCTGGAAACACTTACCGTCTGCTCGGACTCGCTCTGACAGAGATGAATTAGTCCATATAGTGTTGCTCCTTAATACAGAGCACATAGATCTAAGACTGAGGCTGTAGACCCAGGGCCGAGGCTGTAGACCCAGGACTGAGGCTGTAGACCCAGGGCCGAGGCTGTAGACCCAGGACTGAGGCTGTAGACCCAGGGCCGAGGCTGTAGACCCAGGACTGAGGCTGTAGACCCAGGGCCGAGGCTGTAGACCCAAGACTGAGGCTGTAGACCCAGGACTGAGGCTGTAGACCCAGGACTGAGGCTGTAGACCCAGGACTGAGGCTGTAGACCCAGGACTGAGGCTGTAGACCCAGGACTGAGGCGGTAGACCCAGGACTGAGGCTGTAGACCCAGGACTGAGGCTGTAGATCCAGGACTGAGGCTGTAGACCCAGGACTGAGGCTGTAGACCCAGGACTGAGGCGGTAGACCCAGGACTCAATATTAAAGCAGCAGTAAGCGATTTTTGGGTGTTAATATACGTCTTAAATATTGATATATTCCAATAGCCATCACTTATATAGAGTGTTTGTACCTAAACACGGATCTCTCAGTCCTTCCAGTCTTCTCCCACATATTTAATAAAAAAACCTCACATCCTATGCGCTTATCCAATGACGAGAGAGCACGCCTTATAAGGGGTTTCTCCCGTGTGTGCACGCGCACTCTTCAAAACAAACATGGCGGAGAAGGAAAAGCCGCCTCCAGCGCTGCTGCAGACTAAATACATGGATGGATTTATTAAATACAGGCAAAACGCCAGAAACAGAGGAACGACAAAAAGTAGGAGCAACATGGTGACCAGCTGCATTCATGTTGGCGACCTCTAGCTCCGTGGATTCCTCTCTCCGACTGAACAGGTGAGCATTTTACTCAGTAGTGGCAGTAGTAGTTGTATTATTTATACATATTGTTGCCTGAGACTGTAATGCGGGTTTTCACCAAGTTAGCTAGTTAAAAATCCCCAGCTGTTGTAGAAATACGGCCGCATTTTGTGGCAATAACTGCGCATTACCTTGGCTTAGCTTTGAGAAACAACAACAGACAACACAACATCGAAGCCTTAGCCCAGCCTCAGCCATCCATAAACTCCGGTCAATTATTAGTTCCCCACATGTACAAAATTAAATGACCATATCACCAGAGTTCCCCCGTGAAGTGGTGTTAGCATTAGCGTTAGCTGTTAGCATTAGCGTTAGCCATTAGCATTAGCGTTAGCTGTTAGCATTAGCTGTCTGTAGTTGTGAATATGATGTGGCTGCTACGAACACTTCTGATCTGTATGAATCGTTTGTTTTTGCCAATAAACATAGTTGCTTGCACTATATATATATATATATATATATATGTAGGTCTGCATTTCATTCTTCAATGACTAAGTTTTTCAACTTGCACTCTGTATATTAGTTTTATTGTTATAAAAACAATATCTCTTTACCTGAAATCTAACTTCCGTGACCACTACATAAATTTTTATTATTATGTATTGAGAATAAGTAAGAAAAGTCTTGCTGACTACTACCAAATAAATTATGAGCATGATATAATATAGACATTGTAATAATTTACATGTCTTCATTGCATTCTTTTCTCTGTATCTTTTCCAGTATAGCCTAAATCAATTGGAATGAGGTCTTCAATGTACAAGAGTTCAAAAGCCTCCATAATGCAAGTTAAATAACTATATTAAAAAAAAAAACAATGCCATAACGACTAGATACTTTTCTGCTGACCTCTTCTTTCTCTAGTATTGACTGGGAAGACAAGACTTTGCTTCCAGAATTAGAAGAATGGCCATTGTCATCTCCTGAGGAAGACTTTACACCCCACATTTGTCATGTAGGTTGTTGTGAATGCATATATGGGACGCAGTGATTATGATAATGATGTTGTGATGTGTGTGTCGTTCATCCCTACAGTTGTGTTGCTGCCCTGAGGTCCAAAATGAATATCGATCATGTTCCAGGAGTCAGTGTTGACAAAACTGTCGCTGAGTTTCTTCAACAATCAAGAGGAGTGAGATAATCACTCAACTCCCAAAACAGCCGATGTAAGTGTCTTTCTCTCACAATGCAGTCTCTCACAGTCCAAATAAACATGTACAAGGATCCTGTGAATCAGGGGCCACTCCTGGTGATCAATAAATACTGATGTTGTTGATGATGAATATATCAAAGTCATATTTGAGTAGATAAAACTGATGTCTCTTCTATTATGTTTCAAAGGAAAATCTCTGCCAGAGGAAGACTCCAGTTCCTTCAACCTGGGCCCCTGAAGTGTGGCTGTGTGTGCGTGTGGCTGTGTGTGCGTGTGGCTGTGTGTGCGTGTGGCTGTGTGTGCGTGTGGCTGTGTGTGCGTGTGGCTGTGTGTGCTTGTGGCTGTGTGTGCTTGTGACTGTGTGTGCTTGTGGCTGTGTGTGACTGTGTGTGCTTGTGGCTGTGTGTGCTTGTGGCTGTGTGTGCTTGTGACTGTGTGTGACTGTGTGTGCTTGTGACTGTGTGTGTGTGTGGCTGTGTGTGCGTGGCTGCTTATGAATTATTTTGAGGAAATGTGTTCAAACAAACTACAACATAAAGATTAACATTTTGTTAGATATCTCTGATAGTGTTCGCTGCAGCAGCGATGGATAAGGACCTGAATAATAACAGTGTTATTCATTTGAGCAAAAAGTGATAACACAAACGTTGCCTTACCATCACTTGTAATTATTTGTCTTAGTAGGGACATTGTGTATATTTTTCCGGCTATAACTTCAAATCTTCTTTTACATAATAAAGTTTCTTAGACTCGTTACAGACTGTATTTGTTTTCCTACTATAAAACAAAGCACATTGAAAGAGGTGAATGTATTTTTTTTTATTTTGAAATAGTACAACTACAAACATATTTCAGAACTGCAGAGTGGACGTGCACCATGGGGGCCACTGAGGACGTGCACCATGGGGGCCGCTGAGGAAAGCACGTTTTCAATGTCTGTTGGCACCTTTCACAGACGCATCAGGGAAAGGATCTGGTCATCAGCTTCTCTGGACAGAGGGCATTCAGTGCTTCCTGAAAGAACCGTTATGACAAATGACTTTATATATTCTGTTACTTGTAGCTTTTCTTTCAAAGTGGTGAGTTTCCTTACAGTGTAATAGTGTAACGTAATTAGTTATGACAGTACTTTTGCGTTTCGGACAAGCTTTACTGGAATTGTTTTTCAGTCCCACATCTCACTGTACAGCTCTGATACACTTTGATTTTGTCTTCATTCTCTGAACAATAAGCACATAATACAGATGTTGATTACATCAATAAATGTATCTTTATTTTGTGACATTGAGAAGGCAGCTTCCAGTGAGATGCAGCTTTACTTTCACATAATACATTACTACAGTGTTGTCTATAAAGAACTCCAAATATACAAATTGTGAGGAAAGCAGTAATGTATTACTTTAAAATAACCTTCATGTAAAGCTTTGTTGTTGTAATGTATATGCATTACATTCATCTAATACATATGCACTGTAACAGATGTTACAGTGCATAATGTTGAGACACGTCACACTGCAATCTGCAACATTATGTTTATCACAACAGTTATCAGTGTGCCAACTATAAAAGCAGTATTATTCTATAAAAGACTGGATTGTTTTTATCTCTTTCTTAGTGATGCTATCCTAGCTAACACCAAGCTGCTTCCAGTGTTATAGCTAGGTTACAACTGAGCTATTCTATGCTAATATTTCACTCCCAGAGTTTGTTGTTAATATACTTACGAGTAGACCTGACAGAGATGAATCTGCTGCTGCCATCACCAAGACGATGCGCGTTCATGTGACGAGGAGACGGGGGCGGGGCTACTAACTCGCTCAGGCAGAAGAAACTGCCGGAAACGACCAAATCGCTTACTGCTGCTTTAAAGGTATAAAGGAGGATTTTCCCATATTTTAGGAAAGAACCGCCCTTTCTACTTTTTGAACAAAACTCTCTGCTCTTATAGGACAAGGACGTATAAACAGAATGATTGACATTTGGGAGGACCAATAGTGTTGATGATCCACCCGGAAGTAGAAAATCCTCTTGTATACCTTTAAGTAAATAAACATCAAGTGAAAAACAGGTGACTTCTTTCTGGCCGAGTAGTTAGCCCTCTCGCTTCTCAGCAAGAGGGTTCTGGGTTCAAATCCCGGTCGGAACAGGGCCTTTCTGAGTGGAGTTTGCATGTTCTCCCCGTGTCTGCGTAGGTTTCCTCCAGGTGCTCCGGTTTCCTCTACCACTAAAACTATGCACATTAGGTCTGAATGTAATGAGAGAGTGAATGGATGGTGTTTGGTCGGAGGCTTTGATGGTCCAGTATGTTCGGGTCTCGCTTCCGTCATCACCGTGTGGAGAAATTGGAAACATATCTGGTTTTTGAACTTTGTAAAGAGCTTTGGATGACCTTGGTCTGTAAAATGTGCTAAATAAAAAGCATTACTTACTTATTTTTCACGTTCCCTGTTTTCAGAGCCATATTTTCCCGTAAACACTGAATGCTGGTTTTGCTGTTGTGTCCTTGAGGTTGTGGGTTTCAGGCTCTTGAGCAGAGGTGGTGGTGAAAGACAATAGAGTGAAGTGGTCTCGTTTCAACACTCCCCTCGGGGTCTGGGTCTGGGTCCGGGTCCTGGAGAAGCCGGGTCCTCAAATGATGCATGGCTCTGGTGATTTCCTCGTCATCTTTACACGAAGCAGAAGAGTCTTATCTGATCCAGAGAGCGGCTTCTTCCAGATGGACTCCGTCTGCTCCACTCAAAGCCTTCACAAAGACCTGCACAGATGAGAGCCTTAATAACAAAGAGATGTAAACATTAACTGTTCTACGGATCAGTCTAAACTTGGGCCTGTGGGTCAGTTGTGGCCCGCTGTGTCACTGTTTGTGGAACCCTTCCTTCTTTATCGTGTGTTGGACCCAGTGTGCGCGGGTCCCGGGTCAAAAATGTCCAAAATGACATTCTGCAGTACCACCCCGGGCCTGTGGGGGTAGATCTAGAATAAGAATTAGCTAATGCTAATGGATAGCATCTTCTTACCTCTTGAAAACGTCTTTACAGGATGGTCCAAAAGTGGTTCTTGGTCCAAACGTGGTTCTTGGTCCTCTTGGTTCTAGATGCTGTCTTAGGGGAGTATATGTTTTTGGACCAGTCTTGTTTCGTCGCTGTGGACTTTTGAATGCATTTGAGTGCAGCTAACGCACAAATGTGTTTTTTTAACATTTTCCTCGTGGCCATTTTGCACCTGGACATAGACGGAGAAAGTGATGTCACATTAGTTTGAACGGCAGAGATAGAAGTGACTACTTCTGTTTATACTTACAGTCTGTGGTTGGACCTCGTTGTTAGAAAACTCTTTTTTAAGTAACTTTTGAGATAAATGTATGATTCTGATTCTTACTGTGCCTTACTCTGGTCTTTACCTTTAACTGTAACCATCTCCTGTGCCGCTAACGGAGCCCGTGGGGGGCCACAATCTTTGACTGCAATGAAACTTACTAAACATTCCTCTGGCTCCGGCTTCAGTTTCTTGATAGAACCAGACCTGAATACTTTACTATCGCATTCTTTGCCGACAACCTTCCCGTTCAGCGCAAACTCTTGACGTCACCCACAACTAACTACAACACCCGCCTCCCGCGCTCTATGATTGGTCGAATGGAATTCAACCGATTGTAATCACAAACACAGGGACCAGACTCAGACGTTAAATGAGCGGAGTATACGGATGGATAAGGCCAGGGTATGGTCCCACTGGTCCCACTGGTCCCAGACTCTGGTCCCAGACTCTGGTCCCAGACTCTGGTCCCAGACTTTGGTCCCAGACGAGGTTAATGTTAGAACCATCAGGGACATATTTGTTATGAACCTTCAGATTAAGATTATGGTGTAATCAGAATCTGAATCTGAACCAAACTCTGAAACAGCAAAGTGGCTCCAAACCTTTAAGCTGTTGTGAACAAACAGGGCCGTGGTGTGTAGCAGATGTTTGTGTAGCAGATGTTTGTGCGTCAGTGTGAGATGGATTGTGTTGCTCTCAGTACATCTTAATAAACTGATCCCTCGGAATGTTCTTGTTCTCTTCTTTTGTCGTGAGGCACTGAGCCCATCCCTCTTCATTAGTCTGAGCCCAGTCCTGATGTTGGTCTGAGAGATGCTCTTCTCCAGCACATGGTTGTGTTTATAAATGTATTATTACACCACTCGGCACAAAAGGGTCAAATATGAGCAACATATAAATTATAATCCCGTGGTTTGTGTCTTAATTTGACACGATCAGATTTAAAACAAGGTTCTGCAAAGAGACAGACATTTAGACGTGTTTCAAAAACTGCTGCTTTATTTTCTCATTCCAACACCTTGAAAAAAGTAAAAAAATAAAAAATAATAATATAAGTAAAAAACTGCTTAAAAAAAGATCTGACAATAAAACAATAAAATATGACTTGATTCTAGTTTAAAAACACACATTTCAAGAATTATTAACTAATTTATTACATTTTTTTTATAAATGTTTTATTAGAACAAAGCATCACAAACTTATTTTATCTAAACAAGAAGAAAAGTCTGATAAGAATAAATACTTAAACAATCTTAAAAACT